ACTTATCAACAAAACTATAACACCAAGAAAACCCACAAGAGTTGGTGGTGGGTGTTGTTGACCTTCAACCACACAAGAGTTGGTGGTGGGTGTTGTTGACCCTCAATCAGACAAGAGTTGGTGGTGGGTGTTGTTGACCCTCAATCAGACAAGAGTTGGTGGTGGGTGTTGTTGATCTTACCTATAGTTTATTGACTCAAACGTTAAGGACATCTGCACAGAGGGTCCTTGGTTTACACCTAATTGCTGAAATAAAAATTGCACTCTACCCAATAAGGCTTGCACTGTAAGAGTGACAGTCAGTCCCATTATTTGATTAGAATAACCCAGTAGTTTTCTTCCCTACAATCTTTCTTTGTGGAGAGTGTATATGTATTATTTACTTGAGTCATTGAAGGGTTATATTCATCAATACTATCCCTGAGATCCTTATGTCAAGCCCCAGAGTGGCTCAGCGGTATGTCTGTGGCCTTACAATGCTTAAAACTGGATTTCGATACTCGTGAAGGGCAGAGCACAGATATCCTATTGTGTAGTTTTGTGCGTAACAACAAACAAACAAACCATATGTCAAGAATCTTCTATTGTAGGTTGTTGTATTTTGTGCATAAACCTTTTGTATTTGATAATTAATTAATTAATTTTCAGTAACCATATTTCTAAGTTTACTTTTGAGACTGTGCTAAACTTTATTTTTCTCAGTAATCAAACTATTTGTTAACATAATTGTGTCTGAATGGCTGAAATTGTTCCCACTTTTGTTGTGTCCCAGCTCGGTACGAGAGCTTACAAGACAAACTGGCACAAATCAGAGATGCCAGAGGAGCACTCGACGCTCTTCGAGAGGACCACCGAGAAAAGTTGAGACTTGAGGCGGAGGAAGCCGAACGTCAACGCCAGTTTCAGATGGCACAGAAACTGGAGATAATGAGAAAGAAAAAACAGGTAATACATTATGTGTTGACCAATCGCTGAACATGTATTTCCTTTTTAAATCATATCTTTAAACAGTAGGGTTAGGGCTAGGAGTGGCCTAATGATAAGCATGCCCAAATTGTTAATCTTTGATCTATTGTTGACATTCCATCTATGAAAACTTGATTTCTCTGGAGTTATAAGAGTGACAGTTAAGTCCCACTCTTCTGTCAGACAAGAGTTGTTAATGGGAGGTGTTGATCAGCTGCATTACTTCTAGTTTATCAGATCAAAATTAAGGATGACTAGTACGGACAGACCTCGTTAGCTCTGCACAAATATCTAACACCAACTAGACAGCATTGATGTCACAATAAATATGTCAGAATGTTATCTAGAAACAATTTCTCTGTAAAGATATATTTGAATTAGATACGAAAGATTCTGTAATTGATATTTATTCACCAAAAATGTTAAAATAAAATAATGTGTGGACAACGTGGGACCTATTGGTCCATCTTGGCTGTCCTGTCCTCTAAACTAAAACTATTAATAAATAAATTAAAAAAAAATCTTAAAGCCAGTCCTTATCATTCAAATACTTATCAAGCTTTTTCTTAAACTCAAATTTACTGCCTCTACAACATCTGAAGGTAACCCATTCCAAAGGGCAACCACCCTTTTAGAAAAATAAAACTGTCTTAGCTAAAGATGATTCCTACCTTGCCAAAACTTATATTTATCATATGCCCCCTAGTTCTGCTATTCTCATTATTAAAAATATGTAAAAAAAGATGAAACATCAACATTATAAATTTCCTTTACAATGATAAACACCTCAATCAGACCCCCCCCCCCAAACTCTTCTTTTTTCAAGAGAAACAATTTCGGAGACTTCAGCCGCACCATTCTTGTAATGCTTCTCTTTCTTGTCTTTCTTAAGGTAAAGAGCCCAATATTACAATTACATTGCCTAACCAATGAAGTTATAGCCTCTTTACACTTATGTTCAGTATTTATTTAGATACAACCTAAAATCCTATTTGCCCTACCACTAGCAACGGCTCACTGCTTGGATGGCTTAAGAGACTGATCAACTATTACACTATTTAGGTTATCCCCATCCAAATTATACTTATAATTGAGATTATTATAACCCAAATTTCAAATAAACAAAGAAAAATAATCTTGTCTGAGACATCATTGATGTATAGAGCTTTACATAAAACTATAATCTTGTCTGAGACATCATTGATGTATAGAGCTTTACATAAAACTATAATCTTGTCTGAGACATCATTGATGTATAGAGCTTTACATAAAACTAGCAAGTTTCTAGTTTTGAACATTTAAGTTTAAAAGTTTATTTTATTAACAAGAAGCGTCGTCCTACAAAAGAAGTTGCTGTGTTTACAGATTAGAATTTGATTAAGTTTAAATATTGATATTGTATGTGATTTATTAGAATACTTTAATGACTTCCTGCAACTTTATTGACCTTCAACCAGACAAGAGTTGGTGGTGGGTGTTGTTGATCTTCAACCACACAAGAGTTGGTGGTGGGTGTTGTTGACCTTCAACCAGTAGTCTAAACTTCCTAACACTGGGTGTACAGTTTTTGGTCGACAGTTATGTAAAGTTGGTTTTTCAGTAGTCCTATCTGCTTGTTAAAGAATATTTTCCCACCTATTGTTATCGTGTTGTGGACTGTATGTAGTTTAACAATTATGCCGTGTCCTGAGTTATTCATTCATATTCCCGAGTGCCCCAGAAAAACTATATAGGGTTTTATGGGATACCCCAGCGTATAACAGTGTCCAGGGGCATGGCTTAATGGGTCATTTAAATGATTGAATTGTTGGTTTGAAAGTATATCTTTATTCAGTATCATTATATATTGCTTTTTCAAATATTTTTGTTACATTTTAATAGTTTATAAGAATGTGTAATACTATGTAATTTCTATTTGCGATGTTTCGGTACATACTTGTATATCTCTACGAATCAGAAATTACAGAACGGAGAGGTTGATGAACTTGATGACTTCCAAAATACTTTAAGAACAACGCTGGAGATTTTTGTCAACAGAATGAAGAGTGACACCAGCAGAGGGCGCCACATAGCCAATGACACATACGTGCAGTCGCTGTTCGTGAATGTCACCAACATGCATGCCCAACTTCTGAAGCACATCCAAGAACAAGATGATCTACGAGGTGGGTTTCTGTATTCTGTAAATGTTAATTCTCGTATCTAAGTTGAAAAGAATATTTATATGAACTTCTTAAATTTCTAGTTGCAATCTTAAAACAGTCAAGACACAGTCTAGTGGCTAGCGAATCTGAAGATTCAAGTTTAGTGGGTCATTGTTGCAAAAATGCACTCTGCACTTTGGGGTCATGGGTGCACTATAAGATTAATGATGTATTGCACTTTTCAACCAAACAAGAGTTGGTGGTGGGTGTTGTTGACCCTCAACCAGACAAGAGTTGGTGGTGGGTGTTGTTGACCCTCAACCAGACAAGAGTTGGTGGTGGGTGTTGTTGACCTTCAACCAGACAAGAGTTGGTGGTAGGTGGTGACCTGACATTGTTTAACTGTTGTAGTCTAAACTTCCTAAAGAGTGACCTGACATTGTTTAACTGTTGTAGTCTAAACTTCCTAAAGAGTGACCTGACATTGTTTAACTGTTGTAGTCTAAACTTCCTAAAGTGTGACCTGACACTGTTTAAATGTTGTAGTCTAAACTTCCTAAAGAGTGACCTGACATTGTTTAACTGTTGTAGTCTAAACTTCCTAAAAAGTGACCTGACATTGTTTAACTGTTGTAGTCTAAACTTCCTAAAGAGTGACCTGATATTGTTTAACTGTTGTAGTCTAAACTTCCTAAAGAGTGACCTGACATTGTTTAACTGTTATAATCTAAACTTCCTAAAGTGTGACCTGACATTGTTTAACTGTTATAATCTAAACTTCCTAAAGTGTGACCTGACATTGTTTAACTGTTGTAGTCTAAACACCCTAAAGAGTGACCTGACATTGTTTAACTGTTGTAGTCTAAACTTCCTAAAGAGTGACCTGACATTGTTTAACTGTTGTAGTCTAAACTTCCTAAAGAGTGACCTGACATTGTTTAACTGTTGTAGTCTAAACATCCTAAAGAGTGACCTGACATAGTTTAACTGTTGTAGTCTAAACTTCCTAAAGAGTGACCTGACATTGTTTAACTGTTGTAGTCTAAACTTCCTAAAGAGTGACCTGACATTGTTTAACTGTTGTAGTCTAAACTTCCTAAAGAGTGACCTGACATTGTTTAACTGTTGTAGTCTAAACTTCCTAAAGAGTGACCTGACATTGTTTAACTGTTTCTTTAGGAAGTATAGACTACAACAGTTAAACAATGTCATGACAGTTAGACTACAACAAACAAATAAAATGGTAAGCCACATTTCAACAAGTTTGAATGAACGAACATATTTTACCTCAGTAAGTTTGGGAGGAGAGAAAGGAACCGAGCTCTGCGTGGTGCTAACTGAAGCAGGAGCGCTTGGAAGTGGACTGGTACGAGGTATTCCTTCTTCATGTCGCTGCTCCCAGTAAGCTCGATTCAAGTAGCGTACCAACTCCGGATCCTGATCTAGCCCACCTAAACTATCTTTTGTCTTGCTTTCCAAAGATCTAGCATCCTCAAATTAGAACTCATATCATGAAATACTGTATCACCAATAATGGTAAAACTAATAAATCAATCTCTAACATGTAAAGTAAAAACCACACATTTTGTTAATAATGAAACAGTTTTTGTCCTCAATCCGTCATACTTTGCAAGTTAAAGAATAACAAAAACTACACTTACCAACATTTTAAGTTCTGCCTTTATATAAAACCGAGAAGTAAGATAGTCAAGAAATAATTATGGTTATGCAACAAATATAGTTCACATCCAATATTCCTCATCCTTTATTGTCCAAGTATTTAAAGATTTTCTGAAGTAATTGACATCGAGATGTGTTGTTTCTTCCAAATTTGTGTCAACATATTATCAAGTAACAGTATTGATTTACAGTGTTTCCATGTTTAACATCAGTATAGATCAAGGGC